GAGACACGGCTAGGTCCAACACTTAGTGGGTGTAGAGTGTGATTGCAAGAGTGTGAGTTGTAGAGTTTTCGGTTAGCTAGAAAACCGAGTGTGTAGAAGAAGTTCCGGCTTCCAAACCGGATTGTGTTAGTGGATTTCTCCCCGGGAGTGGGGAGCGGAGACGTAGGACGGAAGGTCCGAACTCCGTGATCATATCTTGTGTTTGAGTGTGCTTTGGCGTTTATTTATTCTTGTGTTTATATTTCTTATCGCCATTGTCATTAGCTCATTATTTATATGATCCACTATCTAGTTCACATTGTTTACCCCTTGTGTTAGTTTCATATCCTTGCATATATATATTTCATCATATAGGATATATCCCTTGTTTATATTGCTTATCCTAGCTTATATATTTTGTTATATTTCATACTTGCTAGGATAACTTATTAATAAGTTTTAATTGGTATTTAATCGGATTAGATTAGCATAAGACCCTAATCACCCACCCTCTAGGGTCTAACAATTGCTTAACAGAGTCTTCTCGTCACCATGCATCAGGACAAGCCGAAAATGTAGGCAGCTTACTAAAAACTCGAGTAGCAAATGATTCAAAAGAAGCTTTGATGAGTCAATAGTTCTATATGTCATTGCTATTAGCCAGTGATAAGTAAACTTTAGTGGACCTATGCTACATCTGAATTTCATTCTTATAAGATGGTTGATTGAAACTCAATGGTGTATATCAAATAAAATTCTTTAATAAAATTATTCATTGTTTTCTATTGTTAAGGACGCAAACAATCTATTTAATCCTTTTTAATTTTAAAATTCTATCCATATGTTTGATACATGGTTTAATTTAAATAAATATTAATAAAATGAATCAATAATAAAATAATAAATAAAACAATTTACCACATGCATTGCACGTGTAATCCAACTAGTAAGATCAATAGGGGGACAGGTAAGATGTTTTCCTCTTTTATTGCATAATAATAAGTTGGTCATCATGTCCCACTCCTATTGCATAATGAGTTGGTCATCATAATAATGATCCAACTCATTATGCAATAAGAGGAGGACACATCACAATAAGAGTTGAACTTGGGATCTTAGAATACTAAAAAAATTAAAACCTTATAAAATTCAGTTAGACCCTCTTGAAAATATTACCATTTTACACCAAAAAATTTAAAACCATAACTGTTCATAACCTTCAAGAAATCAAAAATAAAATTGAATTTTCTATTTATTCTGCAGTGTGCAATTTGAACATGAAATTTACTCAAGTATGTTGTATTAATAACATCAAAATATTACGATTTTCTATATTCATTTATTTATAAAGAAAAAAGATAAAATGAAAAATTCAAAGATATATGGATTTATTTGTCAAGAACATTTGGATTGTGGGTTCAACGTGACATTCAATAGGGAAGGAATATAACTCAAATGTTGGTGCAAGAATTAACACCTTTTGGATACAGGCATTTTTATTTACCAAATAAAATCTTAAAATAAGATGGTAATTTTTTTTTGGGGGGAGTGTAAGGGGGCGGGGGCGGGGTAGATGCTATTGCATGAGGATTGTTGATCTAGACTTAGATTTTTTTAATTAGATTTCAATTTAGGATGTTATTCATTTCGAACTAGACTTAGGATTTAAATTTAAGGTGTTATTGATTTAGAAATTGAATGCATATTTGAATTTAAGGTATTATTGATTTGGGGCTAAGATTTGGATTTGAATTTGAATTTAACATGGTATTGATTTAGGACTAAAATTTGGGTTTAAATTTAAGGTGATATTAGTTGTCTAAGATTATTATTAGGTCATGTAGGATTTCAAAATCCACACTCCATTTCAACTCTATAGTTTTTAACGAGAAATTTTCAAGAGAAAGTCCGAGTTAAAATTGGTGGATTTTGAGCTTACCCTATAGATTTTCTCTCTTCTCTTCTCTTTACTTATTTAAACATATAATATATTTTAAATTAATATATTTAATATAAAATATTTTATATTTCTAATTTATTTATATATTAAAATATTTTTAATCAACTTCCATAGATTTATTTAACTCATTTAAAATGAAATATATTTAATACTATTTAACTAATTAAAGATTTAATATCTAATATTAAATTAGATATGTTTTGTTATTTAACAATTTTTAATTATTGTTTGTTGGAAAATTTGGAGTAATAGAAACGAAAGGAAAATTGATTTGTATTCCTTTAATCTCAGTTACAATTGGATTTCCTGATTACAAAAGAGAAGAGAACGAATTTGGTTCTCTCCTTTGTTTAAAACTGGGTTCTTCTCGGTAGCGATGGAATGCCTCATTCGATTGCTTGCGTCGAAATTGCTCTCCGTTGATGATCTGACCGTCTCTTATCTCGTGGGAACGATGAACTTCTGTGAAAAGTTTGATGGGTAACTCTTAACGAGTTTAAGAACTCTGAACGAGTTAGAACTCTGTGAAGAGAGTTGTTAGAACCGAAAATTCGGTTAATGACCAAGCAGATCTTCTGTTGTTGAAGAATCCTCTTAGATTTGATCTTCTGAATTTGATTCAAATCTTCTATCCCCAAGGAATTCGCCTCTCCTGCCTCTCTGTGCGGTTGAGATCCTGAAAAATCCTCTCTGCTGCTGCCTCTCCGTTCCAAAAAGCCAGCCCTTAACTCAGTTGAGTTTGTTGAGATTTTATAGGCGGACCAGAGGTTGTAACTACCCTCTAAATCCGCTCTTAAGTGGGCGTGATTTCCTCAGATCATGGGGAAAACAGTTCTGAAACCGTTCGACTCATGTTTGAACGAGTCAAACGCCCAATCTGGCGTTCAGGACCCTAACTTCGTGTCTTAGAATTGAGACGCGAGGTTGGGTGTTGACTGAACATCCAGAACGCGAGGGTCGCTCGCGTTTTGCTTGTTGCAGCTTGGAAACGCAGGGGTCGGGTGTATTTCTAGAATTTTAATGTGGGGATGACTTCCGCGTTTTAGAAGGGGTTAGTTGATCTGTAACCTCTTCTACAGAGCGTTGCAAGGACCGTTGTTCAGTAATCCTAGCTTTAGCTATTGTGGGGTGTGAAAGTCGTCAGATTGTAACTTCCACCGTAGATTGTGAAGACTGCTGAATAGAGTTTTCATCAGTTGTCGGAAGTGTCGTTGAATTGTAACTCTTCTCGATCTATGTGAAAAGTCCTCCATTTGCAGCTTTCGTTTGTTGACATGAAAGCTATCTGATTGTAGCTTTCATTGTTGGCACTTGATAGGGATCAATTATCCATTGTGATTTTTAGATGAATATTTGCCCACAGCTCTCTACCAAGCAACTCATCAACTAAGTCCAACCTTTTATTTCTGAAATCATTATACTGCTCATCAGCATCTCTAATAGTTGATAATATAATATTAGTCATGTTGTTGTCGCAGCCATCTTGATCAATCATCTCAAATATGAGGCCGTGTTTGTAGCGATTGTAGAGTTACAGATGCAGTGATTAGAAAGTCGTCTGATTGTAACTTCCATTGTTGGGGCTTGATAGGAATCAGCTATCCATTGTGATTTTTAGACAGCCTACAGAACCCCCCTCCAAAGTTTTTGAAAGTTCGCGGTTGACTTGGACGAATTTTCGGAATACTTTAGATCCCAAAATTTAGTGGATTGATTATTCACTCCGTCTGATCGAGCCAGATGATTTCAATGTTGTTGATTGTAATCTATCTATACTCCTCCAATAGACTCCCCAGCTGAGTCGTTTGTTTCTTCTCGGCTCTGATCACCTTGATGATCGCTGTTAGCTCTTCTTTTATTTATCTGGGGCTGTGTCGTAGCCTTGGTAGTCGAGGAGCTGCTATTATAATGGTCCAAATGCATAGATAACTTCTGCATTTGAGGAATGGAATGCGTGGATGAGCCCTACGTTTAAGAATTTGAACGCGTGGTTGAGCCTCGTGTTTGGAATCTCAACCAACTCGATCGCTGAGATCGAGTTCGGGCGGGATTCTAGCCTAGAATCTCGTTCCGATTTGACAGCTCATAGCAGTCTATAAATAGACCGCTGGGGGTCAAATCAGAGTCATTCGACTCTTCTTGAAACTTTAACGAAAATTTTCGTTTTCATCTCCGGCGAGAACTGCTCGTCTTCTCTTTCGACTGAGATCCATGGCACCCAAGAAGGCTGTCCCTCGTCCCTCCAAGTCTGACATCGTCGCGGCTTAAGGGTCGGCGCCGTCTGTGTCGGCCGGTGGCGCTACTGCTTAGGCAAACGTGCCACCCTAACTTCCTTTGATCGGCGGTGAGTACGACCTCCGTGGTCATTAAACTTGCTTCGGCAAGTTCTGATCTTTGGATCAACGAGGAAACTTGTTTCAATAACGCGGGGCTGGACTCCGTCGTTTAGTATTTTTGACGAGGGGTTCGACCTCCGCGTCTTAGATTCTTGACGCGAGGTTTGACCTATGCGTCTGAACTTTTTTTTTATGACGCGAGGTTCGACCTACGCGTCTGAACTTTTTTGACGCAAGGTTCGACCTACGCGTCTAAACTTTTTTGAAGCGAGGTTCGACCTACGCGTCTGAGATTTTCAACGCGAGGTTTGACCTCCGCGTCTAAAATTTGCCTTTGCGTTGTCTAACTTTTTCTTTATTTTGCAGTGCGTCATACCAACGAGCCTCTCCCTTTTCACCACTATTTTGGGCACAAAGGTGGTGTGGATCTGAATATAACCTTCAACCTGCGCCAAGAACTTCCAGTTTTCCGAATTAAGAAGAAGAGTCGCGTGGAACTAATCACCCAAGCTTCTCCTGAGACCCTTAGGATATTGGTTACAGACGATCGACTTGAAAACCTGAGCCGTAAGCCAATAGTCAAACCTGGATTCCTCTTCGAGGATTTTGTTGACTTCGAGGCAAGCGTTGCTTATGATGGGGACTACAAGTGGCTGCGGAAAGTTGGGGACCGTAACCTTTTCTTGCCCAATATGGAGAGGATGTTCCCCATATCCTACTTTCAGTGCGCTTCCATCCCAAGGCGTATGGATTGGCCCCTGATTAAAGATCAGGATGAAGTTGTTCTCGGAACCCTGCCTTTTCAAGGGGTCCACACAGTTGGTTACAACAGACTGGTGACAGCTTTACGGCCAGGCTTGTTTGCTAAAGAATATCTTGTCGGTGAAGTGGCCAGTCCGGCGAATACCTTTGTCAAGAAGTTTATGGCAAAGAAAGGAGAGTTTCCCGCACAAGGATTTAGAACTCCTGGCTGGGTTCATTCTCCGGTGACGGGGTGGTGGACCCGGATGACTAAGTTTGTTTTGGAGGAGTTAGAAGTACCTCTTGCTCGAGCTGGCTTGCAGATTCCTGTACGGGCTACTAAGTTCGGGATTATCCAAAGCCATTTTCATTTCTTCTCCGTATTAGAGAAGTATAATCCTGAAACTTGTACTTTCTTCACCCCTATGGGGGAGTTAGGCTTCGCTCTTCACAAGATGCATGAAGTCTCGGATCTTCTTCTTGGGGATTTACCATACGAAGAATTTGTTCCGAGATCAGCGGAACTTAAAATTTTAAAGAAGACCAGCCCCGAAATTTATTCCACCCTCTGGGAAGCCATGTGTCACTTCCACATTTGTATGCAGCAGACGGGGGCTCGAGGAAGCGGCATTAAACAAGTGTCTTGGGTGGAATATTTATTCCAGAACTTGACCAATAAGGGAGCCTCAGTGACCAGATTATCTGCAAGCACTCTGGAGGAGGTCCAAGCCCGAATTGATGATGCTACCTCCCACTACACCAACGAGGCCAAGGAAGATGTTTTCCCGGCTCATACGGAATTTGAAAGCTTCCACTACCAAGCTTTGATTCCTATTTCTGACACGGCGCTGTTGGATGGATTCTTGATGCTGTGGCTCAAGCGTTGCATCGTTCCTACCAGGCCGATTGATGCTCTTGCTGTTGAGGTGATCTACCCAGCTGTTCTTTTGGCGCATGGGAGGCCTGTGAGCCTCCTTACTGCTATGGTGGATTGCTTGCAGAATGGACTGCGTGAGTTGGCTTTGGATTTCACTGATGTTACAGAGGTTGAGTCTGGGGGTAACAAGGCTTTCAAAACTCCCAACCCTAGGGTGCCATTGCCTTATACCTATTTAATGGCTTGGTATGTGCTTCACTGCCCTCCCCTAATGAGTGCATCCTCTCCCCCAGGAGACTCATTTACCCCGTTTGTGCAACGACTAGAATCTGCAAAATGGGAGGGAGGTTATATGGTTAGGATTCGCCAAATCTTGTCGTGAGACACCCACTACCATATCTTCCGTTGTTTCCCTGATTTTGAAGGCGGCGTTTATGGAGCAGAGTATCAGGACATGGCGGGTCCTAACAGATTCACCCAGCTGAGCGGGGGTGTTTTCCATTGGCTTCTCTCTATCAGGCCATGCTATCTGATCTTCAGGCAGGGTGATAAATGTTTCCTCGAACCTTACCAACCCTATAGGTTTGCCCGCCAATTTGGGTATGATCAGTTGTACGTTGGGAACCCTCGACCTCAGCTCTAAGTTGTGAGCAACTTATATGAAGGGGTCGGGGCTTGGTACTATTCTGTGGCAGGTTGTACCAGAGCAATCTTCAGGCTTCCTCACAAAACACCCAACTCCTACACTTCCATGAGCTTCTGCAACTGGTATTTTGCTGCTTCCCGGACTCCTAATTACAACTTGAATACGTCTTGCCTAAAAGACATCAGGCATATGTATGCTTCGAGAAGGGGGTCAAAGACATCCCGCCTGAGAGGGATTGACGAGTTTCTATCCGTTGAGAATCAGCCTGCTGGGCAGGAAGAAGAACAAGGAGCTGAGCCTGTTCTAGGAGAGGAGCAACAAGTGGTTGATTCTCCCATGACAAGAGCAGCGGGGAAAAGAAAACTCTCTGCGGATGAAGCCGGCCTATACAATAAGCAGATCCGTCGGAAGTAGCAGCGGGGAAAAGAAAACTCTCTGCGGATGAAGCCGGCCTATACAATAAGCAGATCCGTCGGAAGTTGATGGTTGAGTCTCCTCCCCATACAGGCCAGCAAAAATCCAAGTTGATGGATGATGCTATCAAAGCTGCGGAAGATGAAGAACAACAAGAATCTTCAGTTGCAGGCCTGCCACATAGAACTGGGCTCCATCCTCATGGCCCAGCCCTATTGAGTGAAGCTTCTTCTTACCATCCCCCCGAGGATGAAGAGGGTGAATTAATGGCTGCAGATGCAGAATCTGCTCCGGTGATGGACCTTCCTAAGTCTCCTGCATTAGAACCAGGGGGTCTCGAAGAGAATCCGTCCCTTTCTCCTTCAGCACTAATGTCGCAAGCTGGTGGTTTAAGTCCTAGTCCGACAACGGGACTTATGACTAAACCAGCTGCTGGCACAAATCTTCCTGAACCTTCAGCTACCCGGGATGATGAGGAGCGAGTTGATTATGAAGGCTCCTTGATTGGTGATGTAGCTGACGAAGATAGAGGTGATGAGGATGCTGAAATTGGCAACGTGCCAGGTAACAGTGAAGATGATGACGGACATGATTCCATGGATGACATCATTACTTCTGATGATGCTCCTAAGGCTCCATCTGATAAAGCATCTGGTTATACTCCTTTTTATCTCACCGGTAAGCCGGGTTTGTTTCAAATTCTTCCACATGCTTTTTCCATGTTCCGACCTTTGTTTCGTGCAGGTTCACCTCCTCTAGAGACTACTACTGCTCCTCCTTCTTCAGAATAACATGTCACGTAGGTGGCAACTCCTTTACAAGAGCAACACTTACCAGGCTCACCTGTGGCAACTGCTTCAACTGTAGCACTACCTGGGGCTATTACCGTGACTTCTCCTCCGGAACAACAGCTCGTGCAGGTGTCAGCTCCTGCGCAAGAGCAGCCTCTGCCTGCCTCATCCACTGTAGCTGCTTCGCCTACCGCATTGCTGAAGATCTCGCTTACTCTAGCAGAGGCACGACCAAGCACATCTCAGGCAAGGGCAATGATGGCTTTGACCTCAAGCCCATCATAATTGAATGTTTCTACTGCTTCTGCAGCTTCGGCGCCCGGATCCCCTGCACCAATTTTAATGGCTAGGGGAGTATCCCCGAGTATCACTTCAAGTCTTGCGGGCGCACCTGAGTTCCTTCAAATTTCCTTGGTGTATCTGAATAGCCTTGCGAAGAAGGTGATTGAATATGTGGTGAGTAGTCAGGGAACTTTTAATTCCTTTCGACCTCTTCTGGAGGCAGGCTTAAACGGAGTCAGAAGTGTGGGGAACACTCTATGGTTCGAGCACTGTTCGGAGATTATCCTTTGTTTGGAAGAACAATTACAGCATTTTGAAGCCTTGGGTCGCAGAGAGCTTCAACTACAAATATCTACTTTGGTTGGTCTTCAACTTGCAGAAGTGGCTCGTCGGGAGGCGATAGAGCGGGACTTGGCTGCAAGAGAGCGTCAAATCACGGAGCTTCGCGAGCATAATATTCGGAAGCGAGAAGAGTTAGAACGCTCGACTACTTCTATGAATTCGCTTCGTGACAGACTTGTTGAAGCTGAGGCTGAAGTCCTGCGATTAAAGGCTGAACTCTCCCGTGAAGAAAACGTTGTCAATATCCTTAGCACCCAAAACGCTACTGGCGCTTTGGAATATCACACGCAGGCTCGAGCCTTGGAACAAGCCAGGAATGAAGCAGCGGCTATCATCATACCCAGTGAGGAAGAACTCCGGGCAAAGGCTGAAGCCATGGTGTGAGCCACTCACGAGGAGGAGCTAACTGAAGTTAGGACCCAACTTATTTCTTTTGATTTGATGCGCGAGTGAATTCTGCACTTGTAATGTTCTTTTAATAAGAACAATTTTGGCTCTTGAATAAAAAGTGATATTGATTCCTCATTGTTTCTTACATTTATCATGTTCTGATTTTAAGCAACAAATCACGATAAATGACCGAGATGTATTCCCGACTTAGAATAGGTCTCCACAATGGTTCTGATGTAGAAAACTTTTTTTTATTATCATTTAAGATAACTTCAGAAAATTTCAAACTGCTGAGGATTAATACTTTATTATTTTCCCATAATGGGGCTGACTAGTAGAATTCTTCCTGTGTTATTTTTGCTTTGAACACTGAAAGAAGTCTATAAGCGCCAGAGGTGTAATTTTAACTTAGCTTGAAAAATATTACGATCAGGGCAATTTTGAGGACTTATCGTTCCATTGGGAGAATCGATAAGTTGATTTTGTCAGAGGTGTAATTTTAACGTGACAGGATAAATATTACGATCAGGGCAATTTTGAGGACTTATCGCTCTATTGACGAGAATCGATAAGTTGATTTTGTCAGAGGTGTGATTTTTAACGTGACAGGGAAGATATTGCGATCAGGGTAATTTTGAGGACTTATCGCTCTATTGACGAGAATCGATAAGTTAATTTTGTCAGAGGTGTGATTTTAACGTGACATCTGTGGGGAAAATATTTTTTGTGTCTCGCTGGGGAGAATGGCTAAGTGTTTTATCATCAGAGCGATGAATTGTGATACTTGTGATTTGAACAAGATTTTGGGGAATTTTATTATCCCACTGAAAACTGGTTATTTATTACTCTGCTGAGGAGAGCTAATAAATTAACAATGATCTGAATGGTTTTAGAGACTTATCGTTCTATTAATGAGAATCAATAAGTGGATTCTGACAGAGGAGCTATAGCCGTACTGGTATTAATGCCAGCTAAACTTAAACTCTGTAGGGGTGATGACTGTCTGGGGTGTAACATTAACCCAATGAGAATTCAGATTCTGCTGAGAAGATACAGAGGTTTTGATTAATACTCTGTTAAGAGGGCTCATGACTTTGAAGAATAAGTGTCGTGTTTGAAGACACAAGTGTAAGTTCTTCATTTAGAAGAATTGCAACGCTAAGGTGACCTTCGCGTTTGAGGTTCAAAACGCGAGGTTATAGGCCTTCGTGACGCTAGCTTGAGCCTTGCACTTGGGAATTTGAACGCGGTTGTGAACTTCGCGTTTCAAAGATGGTTGGGATTCACTCCTAGAATCCCGTGCCATCTAAACAGCTTGACGGCTGTTATAAATAGACCTGAGTGGTCACGTCAAGAGTCACTTGACTCTCTAAATTTTCGGCTATTTCCAAGAACGAGAATTCTCGTTTGATTTCGGCGAGATCTCTGACGTACTCCGTCTCCCTCGTTCAAAAGCGTTTCCTCCGATCGACTGTATCGATGGCGCCTCAGAGAATGGGTTCTAGCTCCAAGAAAGTCACTGGAGCGACTTCCGAAATGCTGTTGGCTGAGGACGCTGGCGGTGTTCTTGTTCGTGTGGGAACATCGTCGTCGTCATCGCCATCGCAGGGGCTTCCCTGTCATGATAAGTGTTGACCGAAATAACTTGCCTTGGCAAGTTCTTTGAAAACCCTAGATGGGTTCTTGACAACGAGAAAGATGACTCGTTTCTGTTCAATGAAAACACGGAGTTGGGATTCCATGTGGGTCTCGACTCTCGCGTTTAAGTTCTTCAACACGAGGTTTGACTCTCGCGTTTGAGATTTCTGACGCGAGGCTCGACCTTCGCGTTTGAGATTTTGTATTTATGTTAACAGCTCGCTTCTAGATGCTAACCTCTGCTTTTGATTGTGCAGTGCTTCTCC